AACACCCACTCGTGCCCCATCTTTGCCGGGGGGGGCGGCAGTCCGGTTGTCATCGGCAAGCATCACAACAACATTCAACAAAGGAGAAATAGTAGTAGTGAAGAGAGAGCATCTCAGGCTGAGTGCAAGACCCTCGTGGCTGTGAGCAACTGTTCGCAGTGCAATTGGGGGCCAGCTAGGCTTTCACGACAGTGGCATCCCTTCAGCCGGGAGACAACTCTGCGTACCCAGTCACTAAAAAATGTGCGGCTGCACATCGCCTTCCCTCGTTGCAATGCTACCAGGCTTCCACTGCTGTGTTGCCGCGTTTTAATGCTGCGGCCACATCAATTCAGAACAGTCTCTACTCTTCTTTGTCCCTTCTGATATATTCTACCCCTCTGTCATTTCCTTTGGGTGTTTCTTGTCTTACATGCAGCTTCCACTGGCTTCTCAATTCTACGCTTCCACGCCATTCTCAATCTCCCTCTGTGTCCTCTGTCTGTCTTTCAGGTGATGGAAATGTTGGCGAAGGGCCAGAAGCCGCCAGGCATAAAGGTATCAGCGACACCACTCTCTCTGTGAAAATCCTACCGAGTCCTATCCCAACAAAAGGTAACAATGTGTCGTACTGTGCCTCGCCTGGACATCGCAGAATTCTCCTTCCTTGTACTACTGTGTATTATCAATACTCAAGAGTCCAGACATGTTGAAATACCTGAAATGTACAAAACAGCAAAATTGCACATTCAGTCTTGTGGTGTTTGGAAGCATTATGTGCGGCACAGCATCTGCATAGCCGGTAATTTTGTTCCGTACTGTTTCCCTTTCAGGATTTGGATGTTGATTGAAGATTGAAATATCTGGAATGCAATGTGCATGAAATACTCGGAATGCATGAAATACTGGGAACACACAGCCCCCCTACGTTTGGACTCTGGAGGTGTCATGTGCAGTAGGTACACTGTCTGCCCCTCCAGTCACTGTCTCATGCTGTTTTCGTTCAGAATTGGATGACAAACAGTCAAACCATCAAATGTGTAGTAACTACAAATGCTGAGGACGTGTTTTTTTTTTGTTTTTGTTTTTTTTTTTCTTAAAGAACCTTAGAATTCTGGAATCTGGCTCCTTTTCCGCATTCTGGGGAGCGGCAGTCCGGTTCCTATTCCCCCGGCAAGTCAGATACGAACGCATGCTCCTCCCCCTTCTGGTGTGGAGGTCCGAAAAACGGCATTGATTGCGTCCCGCAGGGAAGGATGTACCATTCTTCACCCCTGCCTACGTTAGCCTGTACTTGGTCATGCGGTTGTACTTAAGTGCTACTAATCTATTTACTTCTAGAAGTTATAGTCTAGGACCCTTGCTTTTTTCAACAGACTTGATCTCTGCTCGACTTGTTGGTACTAAATGTATTTGATGCAGGGCTGCACCGGCCACCGGCCGGTTGGACCGGACCGGACCCAACCGGGCCGGTTGGAACCCCGGTGGTCCAACCAGAATTCCGGTTGCGCCCAAAACCGGGTCTTTTTTTTTTCTTTTTTTTTTTTTGATGATGGGGTTGGGCTGCGCTTGTTGAGATCTCCCCGAATCCGCAGAGAAAATATTGATCTGCAAAAAAAAATTCATGGGGTTGGTGGGGGGGGGGGAGGTGTGGAAATTCATGGGTTGAGGGTGGGCTGCATTTGAGGGGTGTCCCCCTCCTCCTCCTCCTCCTTCTCCTCACCCTCATCATCATCATCATCATCATCATCATCATCATCATCATCGTCATCGTCATGATCGTTATCATCATCATCATCATCATCATCATCATCATCATCATCACCATCATCATCATCATCACCGTCGTCGCCGTCGCGGTCGTCGTCGTCGTCATCGTCGTCGTCATCGTCGTCGTCATCGTCGTCACCATCATCATGACGTAATCCTTCGCCGTCGTCGTCGTCATCGTCGTCGCCATCATCATGATGTCATCCTCCTTCATCATCATCATCATGCACTGTCCATATAATCACCCACGCGCCCGCTGCCCTCTGCGCGCGACCACTACTTTGCTCTCTCTCTCTCTCTCTCTCTCTCTCTCTCTCTCTCTCTCTCTCTCTCTCTCTCTCTCTCTCTCTCTCTCT